ATCCATTCTATCTGATGGTGGAGGAACTGCCGGTATAAGTCTTGTAGACGGAACTCTGATACGAGTGTCACAGTCGGAATCTGAGTCGCTAGATTGCTCGCGAGGGCTTCTATATTGGCTGAACCGTGGCATGCGCAGGCCAGTGGCCGCGAAAAATTAAACGGGCCGTCAAAAGATGGGTCGAATTAGACACATAGAAAGTAACACTAAGTATTTTTATCAGCCTAAATTCTCAGAGCAGCCACTCTCACGTATTTCAGAAACTTGGTTCTGATTATTATAATCTAATCTGTTGCAATACGAAATACTCACTAGTACTAACAAATTTTTTATAAAGTAAATTTAAGAAATTTTGTGTTTGAAAAAAAATGTTGGCTGGAGTATCCACTTACATGATTTAAATTCCAAAAAAAAATTTTTTTTTTTTTTTTTTTTTTTTTTTTTTTTTTTTTTTTTTTTTTTTTTTTTTTTTTACGTTGGGCGCCAATTAATATGTTGCTGGTCCAGCGATGAACTAGGCGTCGGTGGCAGGTCCAGCGTTGATCGGGTATTTATAGTCTTAATCAATAAGTTGCTGGTCCAGCGATGAGCTAGGCGTCGGTGGCAGGTCCAGCGTTGATCGGGTAATTATAATCTTCTTATGATGATTATGTTGGAGGGTTTGACTTCACCCCCTTTTCTATTAACTGGCCTTGTGGCTCAGCAATGATCAGAAATATAACAATTTGATTACGGCGGTGTGCCGGAGTAGTGCGGGTTTATTCTTCAAACTCCAATACAAAACTGATTTTTAGCTACATAGAATATTTCACTTAAGCTAAGCCAAAACTCGCATCACACCACAATGTCATGGTCGGCAAGCCGACTCAGCAATCTTAGGCAATAACGGAAACTCTTGCAGTAAACAAAAGTATCTGGTTACCACCGCTGACCATTGCAGTTATAGCGCGCTGATACAAAGTATGCAGTGTCGCAATTGCGAGGGCTGTTTCTTAACTTACGAAACACGCGATAGCGAGGGTTGATTATAAACTTATGAAATACCCTATATTAAATGTTATGTGTTAACTTGTACGCCGGGCAACATTTGGTCCGGCACGCTTTTTGTCAATTGCAAATCGATCGAATTGAAATTTCAAGCTGCCTTCATGTTGCCTCTATTGTTGTTGCTGTGGTGTCGCCTGGCGGCCTTTGAATTGAATTTCCCTGTCATTGATTTGCAATTATTACTAAGAGCGCCTGCCAGGCACAACCAGACCCAACTGTTCAGCTAATCTACACAAATCTGACGCACAGCTGACCACGGCTCGTAGTTGTAATGGTTGCCACCACCAGCTCTGTAGCTCCACCATTGAACATGAAGCATGGAGCAGGGGTCGGGGGAGGGTTTAACTTGTCGCGCGACATGAAACGATTAAGGCAGAAATGCTTTTAGCCATGCCAGTGGCTTCTGGCTTTGACTCTGAGGTGTTTGCTACACTGGCTTGGTCATTATGCAGGGGCAGTGGGGTTGAAGCCGTCGACGGCAACGTGCTGCATATAGAGATATATATGTATAAATAAATACATACTCTGTATATATATTTATATGTGTATCGTGTGATTGATCACAATTTTCGAAAGTAATTAGAGGACCATGTGGCCAGCAACAGAGCCAGCAGAACTAACACAGACGCCAGACATTGGCATAGGGAAAAGCATTAGACGTAATTACTCTGTAAATAATTCGTTGCGTTTCAGGTTCCGAAGGTAGACTAAGGACTAAGAAAAAGGCTTTAATAGCCAATCAAATTATGTAGCTTAAATCAGATAAGCAATATACTAAAGTTGCAATTAAATCCAATAGATATATTTAGATTTAGTTTAATTAAGTGAATCAATAAAAAGTATTAATTGATAAATGTTTAATAAAAAAAATAAATGTGGATAAAGAATTTACAACATGAAAATTAGTTAAGCCAATTAATGATAGGCAGTTCAAAAATAATAAATAATAATAACAATAATAGCAATTAAAAATAAATGTATATATAATTTTTTATATATTAAAAATAAATTTATAAGTGTTGAAAAATAAATAGATATATATAAATTAATAAGTTTAAATATTTCTTAAATAAATTTGTATATATCTAAAAAAATGTTTATATATTTGAAAAATTTTAATATATATAAATATTAATTTGTATATATTAAAACAAAATTTATATATATTAAAAAATAAATTAATAAATGTAAATACATCTATTAAATAATTTACATATATTTTAAAATATTTAAATATTTATATTTCCTACTTCACGACTTAATTTTTCAATAAGAAAATGCTTCAATCAATTAAAATTATTTATTTATGAGTTCTAATAGTCTCAAGTTGAGCGTTTGACAACTTCTCTATTTCGTGTTCTATTTTCGGCTATAAATCAGGCTTGGTACAGCCTACACAATAATATTCATTATGAGCTTGAGCCGCACATTAGAATTCAACATTGCATTTAATTAACCGTGTCCATCTCCTGACTCAGTGCACCCTCTTGACACGTTGCCAACGATGCGACGTCTAAGTCGTCTGTCAAGTAATCAGTTTTCTTTATGGCCTTTGTAATTTCAATGGCTAAATGCCTCTAAAACTGGCAACCCCAAAAGGCAAATGCATTAATTTCTATGTCCACAGCCAACAGAAGCACGCGATGCTGGAGAAGATTGCCGGCATCGTCGCCTTGGTTGTTGGGTGCCAATAATGACAACCAACATATGCACGAGCGGGCGCAAAACAATAAGCAGTCCAAACTTAACGACAACTAAATCCAATTATAAGCACTGAGCGCAACAGGAGCTGTTGTGGGACGACGACCAAGCCAACGTTGAACACGTGTGCGTAACGAATTTTCCACAGATATTGTCCGTCTGTATTTGTGGGGGTTGCTTCGGGGGGTTAGCTTTAAATGCGGTTCTGCTTTTGGTTTCGGTCTGCATTGCATTGCATCCCGCTGAGTGTTGCATAAAGGTTTACTTTTCATTTATGCGCCAGACAAAAGGAACAACCCTTACAAATGCATTGCACAAAGGAGCTACTGCATGTACTTCCCTTCTGCGTGTGTCATGTGCGTGTGCCTGTGTGTGCGTGTGTGTGCTGTCCCACCCACCATAAGCGAAAAATTGTAATTAAACTTAATCCGCTCAATTTGAAACGCACGCCAAGCCAAAAGTACCTCACTCAATATGCCTTCATTGCCCTGGATTGAATATTATTTATATGCACGTATATACCCTGTAACTAAGCAGCAACAGAGCGTATGCAAGCGTCTACTATGTATTTATTAAATGAAATTTCAATTTAATTGAATTTGAATAAGATTCTGATGGATTTGTTTTTGTTATTAATTTTTTTATGTCTATTATTTTATATATTAGTTTAAATTACTTTCATAAGCATATCATATTTTTCCATATTTTCTCAATATCATCATTTAATCCGAACTCATTAATATAAATATATTTTTTAGTTTTTTATTTTCAGTCTGGCAATTAAAACCACAAAAATGATTTAACTACAGGGTATATATATATTTATATATATATATATATATATATGTATATATATATATATTGAATATATAAATTGAATCCGTTTTGCATTGCCATTTACTTAATTTTAATTAAAATTGTCAGAAAAAGGATTCGGGAAGCCTTGCAGTTGCCCAAATGCGTTCATGTGTTAAAAATGTGCATAAATTATTGAATTAGTGCGTTTGCAACAAATTTCTCGCGTTCTCGATTGCCCTCTGTGTTGGCTGCTTTCCTCCGCCTTTCTCTCGCTTTCTCTGTTCTTCGAGCCAATTTTCATGCTGTGCGTTATTAATATGAAATTTTAAAGCATAAATTAAGGCGCCAGTGCCACACTTGCTTATAATTTATGCATGGCGTTGACTTTGGTACGGCTCGCTTCTGTTCGGTTTGGTTTTCATTTATTTATTTATAACACTCGCCGCCAACTGCCAAAGGGCTGCGGCAATTAGTTCCAAGCTCCTTGGGGATGTTTTAATTATCGTATTGTGTTTTTTTTTGTTATTCCATTATTGTATTTGTTACTGCTGCTGTGCGATTTATGCGAACGATTTAATAATGCAAATTAATTCAATCGTTTCGCGTCTTTTTTCGGGCAATTTTATTTTTGTTTTTTCTTCTTCTTTTTTGTGTTACAGTAGCTTTATCATTTGGGCGGCTTTTGTTTTTGGTTGCATTAGGTTTATGGCTGTGATTTGATTTATATGTACTTTTGAGGTGGGCGTCGAGCCATTGATTTATGCGAAAGATGTGTCAACTGTACTGACAGTACGCATCGAATTGTAAAGGGGATGTCAAAGGGCTTTAAATATTATTGAGTGGTATTAATATATATATATATAAAAAATATATTTATATATATAAATATGAAGAAATATATATAAATATAAATATATATTTATATACATGTTATTGCAGGCAGATATTTGTATAGAATATTTGCCTTATGATGCTTAATTGTTTCAATATAATAAACACTTAAGTCGCCTGTTGACTGGAATTAATTTCTAGCTTTTAAATTATTCTAAATATATTTCTTTTCTAAGTGGCATATACATAGGATTAAATACATTTATATCCACTTAAAGTGACCATAAAAAATTGAGAAATAATATAAATACAATCAACATTTCTGGAGTCAGAACTCTGCTTGTAGTACTCCTACTTATCATAAAATCATTCGTCAATAGTTATCAATATTAAACTTCTGTAGAAATTAGTAATTAACTTATCAAGTGACATTTAATAGTATTATGTAATCAGACACTAATTTTGGCATATCTTATCGTTACGAAACGCTAATGGTTAACCCCTTCGTTCCTTGAGATTTATAGCAGTTGTGCTTATCAGCGCCAGTGATTCCCTAAAATAATAATCGAACGCATATATATATAGAACGAGTCCATGCATAATCGTCAGTCTTTGATTTCTAATTGAACAGTCTGATGTGTGCAATGTATTCGTCTACGAAACTTATTGCTTGTGCGCTAATTTTTGCCCAACTACTGGGCACTATTCGTTGTGGAGTATACGACCTGACGGATAACTGGGTGAATTCCGATAAGACGGCTAATTTTCCCGATAATGCTGTGCTCGGAGGCATCGATTCGGATGGATACAACAGCTATGTGGGACGCATCATTTACGCCAGCTCAGTGCTGCCAGCACGTGTTAGAGCCGAGACTGGATACGCTACCTACAACACCGATGTAATCGCTAATCAGGCCGCCGCCTATCAACTGTTGATAAGCAATTCGACGCTCAGCTACAGTTGGGTGCGCAGTTACGATGGATTCAGGGAGAATAATGCTGTATCTGTGGGCACAAGTGATCTGAACGAACGCGTTTACGTCTGCCGTGCTAAAGTTGACAATGGTATTTTCATTGGCACTCTGTATTTGGCAAAGAAAATGTGCTTCATCCGCTACGAGAACTTTCCTCTAAGACAGCTCAGCAAGTACGAGGTGCTCGTTCGAAACGTTACACCGTTTCTGCCACTCTTCAACAATCAAATCAACTGATTAATTAGTTTGGTTAATCATATGCTAACGAACATAAGGTGTTGATAAGATCAAACAGAAATATGTGTGTTCAAAATAAGAGAATACTTAAAATATTGCTTAAAAATAATACAACTGCAAGATAAGGGTTAATATATTTTTAATAAAAAACATAAGTAACTTATCAAATTGTGTTTTTATAAAAAATATATTTTTAAAATATAATAGTAGACAATTTATTATAAAAACAAAATTGTTATTAATTTTTTAACAATAGTGTCATTTAATGCTGCTCTCTATATATTTCTATTGCACATTTCTATTTAATTTTTTAAATATTTCAAGTGTGTTACAAATTGTGAAGAAGAAGAGGAATGGCTGCTACAGTGTGCTGGGTATCTTTTAGTCAGACAATCTCTGCAATACTAAGTAGTTACTTTCGATAGTGTCATCTAATGCTATTTCTATTCAACTTGCTAAACATTTCAAGTGTGTTACAAATTGCCGTAATAAACAAACAAAGTGCATTTTTTTAAGTCTTCAATTGCGTGCGATGCACTCTGCACACGACGCTCTTGAACCAACAGCAGCAGCAACAGTAATACACTCTGCTCGCAGGTCTCGGGCATGCAGACAACATGCCTGGTCTAGTCTGGTGTGGTACGTTTTGTGGCACAAGTGCTTTGTAGTTTTGCAGTGATTTTATTAAAATTTTACTGTCATAGTAAAAGTTTTATTATGAGCCCGAGTTGCTTTTTGCTTTCGTCGTTAGTTACGTGAGCCAAAAACAATTCCCGGCGCATGCCAAAAATAATATAAACACAACAGAAAGAGACAGACACACACACACACAGTCAGATGTCAGGCAAGCTCGTTCAGTTTATATAGCAATTATGTTGTTGTTGTTGTCGTTGTTGTTGCTGTTGCGCTGTCCAGACTTCACGCATTACGCCTAGGCATGCATATGCAACAAGCTGCAGCAGTGCTGCCTTCTACATAAAAACAGCTGCATGCAGTGGAGCGTCTTTGTTTTTATGTCGACTACCCATTAGAGACGGGCGTAAAGGGTATAACAAGTTTGCTAGATGTTTAAAAATCTCCTAAGATAAAATTTACCATGAATTTTGAAACTTGCTTAAGCAATAATTTTTACACATTAAATAAATTATATCTGGAAGTATTTATTCATATTTTTCATTAGTTAGCCTGAGGTCTAATTTAATTAACAATAATATAATAATATATAATATAATAATATATTATATATATAAATAAAATATTAAACTCATAGAAACTCTGAATAGATACATGTTTTAGCTCAAAATTATGCAAATATCAAAGTCGAAAAAATTTGAATTTTAAATAAAAATCGTAAAATATTTACTACATTTTGATTATAGTTTTATCTCTAATTATTTATTTTTTTATGCTCATGGGCTAAAATCAACTAGCGATAACAAATCAAAATAGATTGCAAGAAGTTATTGGCTGTTATTGCAGGGAAGGTTTAAGGGGACATTTGATATATCTCACGTCAAGATTCGGTTGGGTAGGTCATGAAGATGGTGGCGTCTGAGTCTTCAGCTAGCTTCAATAGGGGAACTAGAAGATGGGTCGGTGGGCAGCTGTTTGGGTGGGAATCTCGCCTCTTTAAGTATCTTCCGGTATCCCTGAGGTATTAATAGAATAACTGTTCTAAGTAATCTCTTATCTATTCAAGCGAATATATCTGCTATTGAAATCTGTTCAGCATTTACTTTTCAGACTTAGCATAAACATTTCTTAAACATTTCTTAGTTATCTGCTAGGGTATTCGGACTTCTTCTATCCGCACTAACTGAACTTCAGTCCTGTTTTTATTTATTTCTTTGCTCAGTGCAACACCTACTGCTCCCAGCACTGGGCTGGAGTTGGGCATAGTTTATGCTGCCTGCTTTTAGGCTAATGTGCTCATTTTATGCAAGCGTCTCCCTTGCTGTATGCTGCATGCTCCATGCTCCATGCTCCATGCTGCATGCTGCAAAGTGTGCAAAGGGATTTTTATGCGAAAAGCAACCCGTTACCCGACGGCAATGTTTCATTGTTTGTTGTTGTTTTTTTGTTGATGTGGCACACTGCCAAATGCAACAGCTTGTGTTTATAATTGAAATAATTGCGAGAAAGCAGACATAATTATATTCTTATGCTTATTGTTGTTGTTGCCTGCATTCTCCACATTTTTTTGTTACATATATTTTTTTGTTTCTTTTTGCAGTGTCGCTCATCATCATCATTGTCGTCGTCTGCGACTCTGCAGCAGCCGCGAGCTGTAAGTTTATGAAGGATAGTTTTTTGTGCTATCAACTCTAGCCTTGCCACAGTTAAGTTGGGCATATTTGTTGAGCCACAAGATATGCAACGGACAGGTGTTGGCGTTTCTATCAAAGTCACCAAGGCTACTTGGGGAATGCGTTTTTTAGGCATCCATTTACTAATATATATTTGCTATCTGTACCTTTGTAGGGGACTCTCAGTTGCTCATACTTTTATTACTCTTTTGCATAGTCTACTTAAAGGCTTTTTCCCTTTTTAATTGCGCAACGTGTACATCAAAAGCTGGGCTCATTTCCAAGCAATTACTTTAAGGCCTCATTACGTTGCAGACTTAATCGCTAAGCCGCCTTTGGGCGCATTAGCCGCAGCAATTTTGAGTCGAGGAGCATTGGGGCCTAATAATCAACCCTTTTGCAACTAAACAAATATGTTTGCTGGCGGTTGCCTAAATGCATGCAAGACACACACACAAACACACAGAAGCACACATATTTTGGCCAGGTAATGCCAGGAGGGCTTTTATGGTTGCCTGGCCAAACTTGCCAACCGAGCAGATAAACTTCAAAAAGCGCCTTGAAAAGCGGCTTAAAACTTGTTCAGGCGCAACGGTCCTTGGTCCAAGCGAAACTCTATGACAACATTGACAAAGGCAGCGCCAGCTGCGCGCGAGACAGAGTGGAACTAAAGCAGAAATTAAGCATTGCCATGGAGGCGCCGTGTCTATGTGAGATGATTGATTGAGCTTTTAGTTAAATTGCGCAAGCGGCCAGCCCAAGCGCAAACAAGTACAAGCGAACATCTTAGTGAAAAGTTCCTCTACCTCCTGGTGGCCACAAAATAATATCTCTATAATATCTCCATTGGCCCGCGCCGCACTTGAAGTAAACTACGAAGTCGTTGGCAAAGCAACAGCTTCGGGCTTATGTCTGGCTTGTACCGAAAATTATTTTTACATCAGCTGCACTGGGACTTCAATTTCCAGCCAAATACCCAGTATCTAGCTCTCAGCAGGGTTGTTATAACTTGATAGCTAAATCTGTTAGTTTTACAAGCGGGAAAGTTGCGTTAGCTAGTCGAGCTTCAAACTTTTATAGATTGGTCAAAGGCAAGCAAATTTGAATGCTCTTGATTGACTCAAGTTCAGTTTTAGCAATAAGTAAGCCAACAGTGGCAGCTAAAGAGTATATACTGGCTCCTATACCCTGTTTGGCACCGATAGAGATTACTTCGTGTGTTACCTTTCTCATTTGCCAGCATTTTGTTGCCACTTGCTTTCTTAGTTAGTTTCGGTACACGCTTGCGCTGAAAGTTCAACTTTGCCTGGGCCAAAAATAATAAGCGGGCGTAAAATGTGCCTAATATTTATCTTGATAGGCCGCAGAGCCTCCAAGCCAACCTCTCCCACTCCCTCCCTCGCTCTACTACCAACGTCAGCTGTGTTTGTCTTAAGTTTTATGCGCGTGGGCTGCCAGTAATAATCAAAAGTTTTTGTTTGCCTGGGCCACCACGCATGGAAGTGGGAGATTAAGTGGAAGTAGATCATCATCAAATACCAATATTTGGTAGAGAGAAATCTATTAGTGAATTACTCTAGCAACAATGCGAACTAAGCTCAGACATTTGACATTTAATTCCCCGCACAACAACTTCATCAACTACCACATAATCCAGAAAATTTTTTAGCACTTAAATTTGTACATGACCTGAAACTTTTCTTCTCTCATTTTTTTATTTTATTTTTATATTATTTTTTTGGTGTTGCCTACTTCGGGACTGCTAATCCCTAAACTGTCGCAAAACTTTTGTGGCAGCAGCAAGCAACAACAATAACGAAAGCAACAAAACAAAAAGGAACGCAGCAAAAAAAATGAAGGCAAATGGAGAAAAAAGGCCAACAAAAGTTTTGCAACAGATAAAAGTGCAAAGTTTGAGGGAAAGCAAGACAGGAGCAAAAAGGAAAGCCAGGCGAAAATTACAAACATTTTCAATTATCAAGCCAAACAAGGACGTTGACGTATTGTCTGGGCTCTCATTATGCCATTACCATCATATAATTACAGCCTGATTATTGTTTATTAAGTTAAAATGGCGCCGTGGAGTGTTGATGAATGGCTGCGTACAGGCGGACCTTTTGTCCGGCCTGTACCTGTGCGGCATGTCCACCAAAACTGACGACCCACTGCTCACCTGGCTGGCACTTATCAAAGGGTCGGCCCTTAATTTCACATTCATTTTTCAAAAGCAACTTGCGGTGGGTAGCATCAAAATATCGTTAGTTTCTTTTGTTTTACTTTTATTTATTTTTCTTATCATTTTATGTTGTTGCTGTTGCTGTCCATTTCTCAAGTGTCACTGTCAACGCGTTTTATGAAAGGTTCTTGTTTGATTGAAGGCAATTAGAGGAATTGGGAATCTTTTTTAAGCAAACACTGCGCAAGCAGATGATGTCTTTGTAACTTGTCCCTGGGGACTTTAAATTAATTAATCACATTAAATGCTTTGCGGGCTAGCCCCAAAAAGTAAAAACGTTGTCAAAGCGAACTATTAAGATCAAAGATAATGCGCAAAAATAATGATGCCAAATGTTGGCACAATTATGCCTCGCTGTTTCACTAATGGAGGCCATGCTCGGAGGCCGGGGCGAATGGATGAGCAAAGTGCTTGAGAGTCTTAGTCGTAGGCAAAGTCTGGCAGAAAGGCATTTCAATTAATTAAATAAGCTCCTAAAATCTCGGCTCATGTATGCTGATAATTATGATGTAACAAAACGAGGTGTGCCAACAGAGTTTCGGATCTCTTTAGACAACGTTAGCTAAAGACTGGGTGAAGTAAAGTTAATTGAAAACTCTTCCAAGAAATCAGCAATATTTTACTTAGAATCTTTTGATAACTCTTCAAGTTAACCCGCTCGCTGCGTACTTAAATAAGTTGAGCCTGCCCGTTCTCGACCCAAATGAATCAGTTTAGTCGTGCAGAATTTTCTTTTGAAAACAAAATATAAAAAAAAATCACAAATAATGAAATAAATTCAAAACTTTATCCCAGCTTGAAGCTTCTCGGAAAGCAACTGAGACAGAAACGAAGAAATGCATTCGAGTGTTAATAAACATGAATACAATGTTGGCTGCGTTGATAGCCCTTTTTTGCTAGCCAAGTTATCATTGGTTCATTACAGTCCCGATTTGATTTCAATTGTGAACTGTCCGAGGCGAGATGGGAGGCTGTGAAGTGCAATATTGAGAAGCCATTGGGTATTACCTACGGCCTTGTCTTCAATTAGCGATAATAATATAAATGATACGAATGAGTTTTTCACATTTAACTTTTTGACAGCTTGATGGGGGTACGCTGTTACAGCCAATCGCTAATTGACAGTGGGATTGGCCTCGGGCTGCCTGCCAGCCAGGCCAGGCAGCCAGGCAGTCAGGCTAATAGGCAGGCTGGCAGACAGCTCGACAGCAGTCTCGATCTCGCTTTTGCTTCGTTTGTGTATTATTTAATGGCTTCGCTTGTTTTTAAAAACCACAAGCCCAAAACTGTCAAATTGGCAGAAACGGACTAAAAATATAACATTTCCAGCCCAGTTAATTGAGAGCATAGCCAAATTGTTGTTGTCAACCTAAACAAAGGCAAAACAGAGTTTGGCTTTTGGGAACTTTGAATATCGTATGTATATTATATATATTATATAGTCTTTAACTTAGCTTAAATAAAATATAAATAAGTAAATTTAAAAATTTTGTTTTATATTTTGTAAAATATATTTTCATATCATTTCATATTTTGTATATATAAAAATATTTTAAAAATATATTAATTTCTCTTGAATGATCGCCCTTTGATAATCGGATAATTAATAAATATATATATGATACTTTCTTCTTAGTTTGGCTCAGATTTGTGCCACTGTGGTTACTGACAACTGAAAATGAAAACTAAACACAATTAAAACTAACGAACCTGGCAAAATTTGCACAAAATAAATTTTGTTTTAAATGTTATGAGGCTCATATTGAGCGCCTGGGGTGTGCGTCTCTATGTGAGGTAAGGTCATTTGCTGTGCTGAGCTGAGCTGAGTTCGTTGCTGTTGCTGATGCTGCTGCTGCTGCTGCATTTTCCTGTTGGTTCTAGTTGATTTAATTAAATGCATTTGAATGCAAATGCCTGGAAATGCGTAGCGCCGTCTCTCAAAACCATCAGCATATGCGGTTTACATACTTTTGAAATATATGTTACCGTATGCATGCGAGAAGCACCCACACACACACGCATATAATATATACATATGCAGTTTAGTTGTAACTAAAACAAAAACGGAAATGCTGAGCTTATGTTACTGACAGCGCCCTCTGGTGTTATTTTATGGCAAAATATATTTAGGCAGCCAACGAGTGGGTCCACATGGTTAGCTCACATTTTCATAATGCTTCAACGTTACGGAGCGGGAGATTTTAGTCATGTAAACGTGCTGCGGGCCACGTTTAATCAAAAATTGCAATGTTATCAACTACAAAAGCAGAGCTCTAACCCCTGGCTGTTCGTAAAACTGAAGTTGTAAAATTGATTTTTAACAAAGCTAAAGATCTTAATTTATTTAACCATTTTTTGAACTTGTTCTGGGCACTGGTACACATATTTGATATATGATTTAAAGAGCTATAATTAGCTATGGAAATCATGTTTATAACATTACTACATATTAGATTGACAGTGCAGTAAAATGATTGAGATCAATGCGAATATTTGGCAATTGCAGACTTTGCATATGAGCTGTAAATTGAAAATTTGATTGAATATTCCACAACTAGTTATCTGAGGCAGTGCACACGCATCGCTCACTCAGTTTCTGACAATATTACTGGTGCGGGCAGCCTGGCATAACTAATTGAATACATAATTTACAATTAAGTACGTAAGCTACTTTAATATTTATGTCTATAAATGGGCAGAGACACATGGACACACGCAACGCCCAGAGAAAATCTCAGATGGCACGCCTACTGTAGAATGTAGAGTGGGCGTTTCGTCGTCCATTATCGACCATCAGTTGTGCCAACTGCAATAAATGTCAATTATTCATGAATTTTCAATAACTTTAGCCATGGCAAAATAGAAAAGTTTCCTGCTCGTCGTTGTCGTCGTCGTCTGAGCTTGAAAAACTTTTTAATAATATGTAAATATGGCCAATAGAGAGACAGTGGGTGCGGGACGAGCAGGCGTTAACTAGGAAGCACATAAAATATGATGCCAAACAAAATGAAAAGAGAATTTACTTGAGCGGCAAAGTACATAGAGAATACGGGATAACAGTCGATGGGCGGGCGGACGACAAACAAGAACGTGCTCTCAAGCATAGTTATAATGGTGAATAATTAACAGTTATTAATAATGACAAAAGCAGCTGCGACCGAAGGCTGCTCACACAACTGTAGCATACTTTTTTGCCGTTGCCCTCGGTATTTGTTCGTTTTGGCTTAGTTGGCGAGACGGCCGACTCCCTCGCAATTTTTGGGGCAAAAGCATTTGTGCACTTTTTGATTTAAAATTCACCGCCAATAATAATAAAAATAAATCATACGCCACAGCACAAGGCGACATGGTCTGGCATTGCGTATACGCACTGTACTCGCGACTGTTGTTTTGGCGCGTGCGGAAGAAAACTTTTTTGACTCTTGCTTAATAATTTGCTATAATTTATGGCCATCAAGCGGAGTCATAGTCGTCGTCGTCGTCGACAGTAGCTTTGGCTTTAGCTTTATTATTGGATTTTCGCAGCTAGAGTCGGGCATCGGGCCCATGTCCACAGACAATTTAAACTTTATACCAAAACGTTTCTGAATGCTTAATTAGTTCTTGGGAGACATCAGAGACACACAAAGCGGGCGCCGTCGTGTTTGGGTTTTGTTTTCTAAAGTTTTGCGGGGCTAACGATTTAATTTGTTTGCTTATTTGTCCGGGCAATCGGCTTACAAAAACATATTTCATTTAATTGGCATTATAAAATTTAATGTCAAGTCTTAGTATACTATTATTTGGCAAAAGTTGTGACTACGATTATGTTTAGACTTATTTTTAAAAATATTTTTTTATTTATTATGTGTATTAAAAATAAATTTCTTAAAAGCTTTTAACGAAATTTCATAAACCAAAATATTTTGACATATTTTAAAATTAATAATTAATTTTGAAAACTTTCAATTTATATTCAATGTGTATTTTTTAGAATTTTTTTTAATATTATTACTTTGTGTTACTTATTGTTGAGCATATAAACATGAAAGTAGTTTGATAAAATGTTATTTTAATATATGATTTAAACATATATTAAGAGCTGTTATTTACTATTGAGCCGTCTACGCTTTTCTAGTTCAATTATTCCATTGCGTAATTAGTCAAAATATTATATAAGTAATTTCTCGACTTTTTTCAAGAGCAAATTTATTGGAATTTAATATTCGAATGACTGTGAAACGCTGATTCATTTTATGAACTGTGTTTGTGGCATCTTCAAATACCATTCATCCCTGTTCAAACGTAATACATTTTGCCATTGCGCTCAGTCAGGCATAACAAAGCGCCAATGGACCAGCAGTTGCCATCCTTCAAGCTGCCTGCACCGTGCGCCAACCCAAACCAACCCAACCTTTCACCTTTGAAAGGCGCTGGCAACAACTGCGCCCACATTAAACTCAATAAAATAAATGTGCAGCCATAAATTACACAAAGTGCGTCAGTTACACACACCAAATGGACTACCTTCCATGCCTCCCCGCTATTATCAGAGCCCAACCGCCTGCCTAACAGATGCTCCTGCTGCTGCTGCTGCTTGTTACCAAAAGCAGACTATGCAAAAATCGACAAGTGCCACAATTTTTTATGCAAAATAATCCTTTGCCTGGGTCCATTGATGAATTATAGCAAATTAATTTTACACTAAAAAGCGACAAAGCTAGGCACAATGACAGCCTACTATGCGCCCCAGCTCCAGTCCCAGCCATGCCCACCGCGCTGCTACTCTTATCAAACCATTTGCATGGCTGACGTTGCCTAGGCAAACAGTTTAACCATATCAAATTCAAATTCGCATAAATTTTGGTAGCATCGCAGTTTGGGAAATGTACAAAAATCGATTCCCAGCAGGAAGTGCCAGAGCTCCAAATTTTTTTCTCTTCTTTTGTGGGGCGGCTCGGATGAGTTGTGGCTCTTTTTTTTTTTGTTAACCAAAAGGAGAGGAGACAGAGAGAGAGAGAGAGAGAAAAAGTAAAAAACTCAAACCAAAGTCAAATCGATTATTATTTTATCGTCTGGCGGGAAGGTTGTGTGTAGGTTGTGCGCGCAACACACGTTCGCTCTAGGGGTTGTAAAAATAAATTTAAATATACCAGCAAAATGTATCAAAAATTTGATGTTTTGCATAGTATTTTTCACACTGCGAATACACTGAATGTTCAATTGGCACGTGACTGTTGAATGTTTGAGCTGTTGTCGCTGTTGAGTGTAAATCTATCAAAAGTTTTGTCGCTTTTCAAATATTTCACGAAACCCTTTGAACTCTCATTTTCCAATATGTATGTGAAAATGTATTTATAAATGAAACAATTTCTATTTTATCCTTCAGCAATGTTTGATTTGTGGAATATGCCTAGCACTACTTGTGCGTCATGCACACATCGTAGACTCGATGTGTTGAAACTGTGTACTGTACAAAGGAGAGAGCAGTTACAATCACGGTCAAGACGTAGTCAAAGGCGAATTCCCGATCGCAGATCGTATGCAAAATGATCACATTAAGCAATGGCTCCAGTTTCTGATGGACAATCAGAGACGTGTGCTGCAATCATGGCAAGAGATATTATTGCTCCGCTGCCGGGTGTTTTAGCTTTTAACTTACCTCATTGCTCAGCACCTTCAGGGCTGCATCATGTGGAAAGGCCTTGCGGACATACAGAACATTTACGAGTACAATTTGCTGCTGCATAGTCAACTCTTCGCTGCGTATGCGGTCTGTGCAGATGCCAAGAATAAACACGTTCAGAATGGGTATGAAAACCGGACCAAGACAACCATACGCAATAATATAGATTTTGTCGTCGATTTCATCCGCAGCGTAAATAACGCACTCAAGCAGCAAAGTCATATTGAAAATACTCGTAAATATTGTCAAGTAGATCGCTGCAGGCAACCAGGCGGCTCTTTCCTGGACGAACTTATGCAGATTATTAATGCGTAAGTGCAGCTTGAAGAGCCACAACAGACGGCGATGGTAGCGAGCAGATATGAAACTTTGATTGCTGTTGTACTCCACGAAGCGTTGCAGGAAGTAGCTAAAATTGCGATACCAGTTGAGCAGAGTTAACTGGTAGATAAAGTAGCCAAGAATACAGTACTCGAAGAGCACCCAATAGATAAAGTTGATCCAAAAAAAAGTAAAATGATACCACATGCCATCCAGCATTATGTACGCCAAGTATAGCTTGCAAAAGTACACGCACAGTAGGCCCAGTTCACAGTGATATATGATGCCAAACTTGTTTTTGATGATTCGTGTGATGTAAAAGATCTCGTTGATCACGTGCTTGAGCAACATTCGATCATCGTTTGAATGCAAAAATATCAATATGCGGCACAGGTCAGATATGATTAGGCCTTGGACGAGTAACCCAATCAAATAGTTCTGTCCACCGCTGTCCTCGACTCTAAAAATATGGAACCACACGACGATTCCGAGCACTATAAAACTCTGTATATCAAGCAGCACAAACACAAATTTCACTGTCACAACCAATTTCGTGGTAATATGATGATACTGCATCTCCTCCATTTGGTTATATTCTGCATTGTAGTGCAGCTTGAAGAAGTGACATCCACGTGCAATGCCATAGAGCAGCCAGGCAGTACACTGAAAAAATCGACGATAGATCGACTGAGCAAGTCCCCCACGCAGCAATTGGATATCCTCGGTATTCCACATGGTCAATGGTCAATGAACGACTGAAGGGCAACCATAATGAGTACACACACGGTTTGTGTGAGTTTCTCTTATTTATGTGCTGCCCATTAACAAGCGAATTAATCGAAATGACCTAGGCCATTGGCACACAATTATTCTCGGATGAAGCGAAACGAATATACCAAAAATCAATAATGAGTGAAACCAACAATAATATATCCAAAGTTGTTCAATAACAATAGACATATAGATAGCTAAACGCATCTAGGAAGAAGTTAAGTTAATGAAAAGCAAGTAAAAGTGCTCTAGTCGAGAAGGCTCGACTAAGGGATACCCTTATTTTACGATTCTTTTATACTTGCAAGCAACACATGCACACACACACACATACATACGCACGCGCTCTGCTTGCAGCGCAGTTGACAGTTGGGCTGCAGGTGGGCTTTCCTTATAGGAACTAAATTGTTGACTAACTCTTCTTCTAGATTGACTTTCTTAACATTTTCAGAACATAATTGTGGCATCAAGATGCTTGAAGTGCCAAAGCACAAATCTCTAGTATGTGAAATACGTTTATTCGTAAAGGGGAAGAGGGGGCGGCAACGTATACTCAACCCTAATGTCTGTATTCATTACAGCAAACTACCCAGTAAATCTAAAGTCTCCAACATGGTATGGCATTTACTTGTACTGAGTATGGTATGTATATATATATAAAATTTAAGACAGTGTGACACGGCTAGATTACTAATATCCCTTATGGGGTTTGACACGCCTCCTTCTGCCTAATACGTACATTTTCATAAAACAATTACAACATAAATGCAAATTTTCAATGGGTTCAGAATATATGGAGTTGTGGCTTAATATTTAATTAATTATATACTAAATTATATAGAAATATACAAGAATAATATTAAAATGTGAGCAATAAGCTTAGCATAAAACTTTGTTTTCATTGGAATTATGAATTTGAGAAATGGTTCGTTAATTAAAAACATATTTTAATTAAGCATTTCTTTTTAAGAAAATCTGCTGCATATATCTTGATTTTTTTTTATATATAAAAATCAATATAACTTCTCTCAATTGAATATTTTGTAATGATTTTTTTCTTTCATAAGGACAGTCATATTAAATCTAGGCTTGTTTACAGCCTTTCAGCTGGTTCCCGTCTACAACATTTTGCATGCCTTACAAAGCAAAAATTCCTCGAATTACGCACACACAGAGAGTTTGAACCTATAATATTTGCCCAAAAGGAAAGTCTGACAGCAAGTGAACCGCATACACAGACAAAAAATATGAGTGCGAGAGTAGGTTCAATGCACCAAACGGTTCAAGCGAGAGGCAGACGAGCATCCCAGTCGTGCAAAATACTTTGGCAGTGCCATTTCCCCAATGGAAATGAGCGCGCCGGAAAATGCAATTCTTGTTGCTGTAAATGAAAGAAAAAAGAAAAAGAAAACGAAAGAGGAAAGCAAACTGAGCCGTTGCCTGGGCAACAACCAATGCAATGCCATGCCATCTAAGCTTTATTATGCGCGGTGCGGGATATATATATACAAATACATATTTATATATATGTATTCTATATATATATTTATTTCTATGACGGTGCATTCATATATGAAAAAGGCTCATGTTTCAATGAAATGAAAAACCTTAATGAATCCACAACCTGCTCCCATCATCCTGGCAAAGGGCTTAGGGAGTTTTGGCTGTCTGGCATTAAACTCTAATACCCTGTAAAGCAATTTTGATGAGGTGTATTAGGGCACTAAATATATAAAGATATAGCTCAAACAGATAGAGAAAGAATGGAAATGAAAAGGAAAAAAGTGTGAATGAGACAGAGAATGAGAATGGAAATGGGAATAAAAATGAGAGAGAGAGAGAGAGAAAATAAGAAAAAATATAGAGAATGACAGAATGAGAGAAAATGACAGAATGAGAGCGAATGACAGCGAGACAAGGTGAATGAGAATAAGAGAATATGAGAGAATGACACGGAGAGAATGGCAGAGAGAGAATGATAATGATAATGATAATGATAATGATAATGATAATGATAATGACAATGATAATGATAATGACAATGATAATGACAATGATAATGATAATGATAATGATAATGATAATGATAATGATAATGATAATGACAATGATAATGATAATGATAATGATAATGATAATGACAATGACAATGATAATGATAATGAGAGTAAATAATAGAGAGAATGAGAATGAGAGAAAGAATGGGAATAAGAGATTCAGTATGTGAGATAGAGTGATAGACAAAGAGAGAGAATGTGAGAGGGAATGAGATTGAGAATAAAAATGAGAATAAGCTTGAGACTGAAGCTTTCCCATGATCTATTGATCCAAAACACTTTGAAACCAAGTACATAGGGATTTAGCAATTCGCACAGTCGCTGAACTCATTGGGCGACACAGCTCAAGATACGTGGACAGACTTGCAGCGCATCCTAACCATCTCGCAAGTAACCTGGCTATAAACAACAATAGGCGAAGGCTTAAGAGATTGCATCCTCTAGATTAACTTAGAATTACTTAAGCGCAGAATATAAAACGTATACATCGTATTTCTGGCCTCTCATTAGATAAGGTTTAGAGCTTAATGCACTACAGAGTCTAAGACAATAAGCTGCAATTAAATAAATTAAAAAAAAATGACTGAAACCAAAACTTTTCTTAAACAAATTCAAGTATCTGAAAACTTTTTAAACTTAACTTAATTTAAAGAAAAGTGAAAATTGTTTTGTTATATTTGAAGCCTTTTATGTCAGAAAGGATATTTAATAGTCGAGCAATGCCCTCCAGTGGTAAGGTGCCTTGTTATTTATGTATCAATTAAGTTGTATTTCCATGCGCGCAGTTGGATTTGTTTTTGCGTCTGTGAAGGCACAGGGAATTATGTTTTTCGGGAGTTGCATTTGAAAGTTGTTGTCGCGTCGACAGCTGTTTTGTGTTCTGTGTAGGACGACGACGTGACTGCGACTATGACACCCTAAGCGCATTTGGATGGCAAGCAACACCCTTGAAAGCAGGGTAGGGATGACGCCCTAAGACTTAAGCTCTGCATTCAGCGGCAGCATCCACTGAATGAATTGCCAGCGCTTGAAGTGGGCGGTTGGCTGGGTGATTAAATGCGAACCCAGCCCAGCCTTTTATTCACTTTCTGATTCTCTTTCATGCTAACCGCAGTATGGCGGGCCCCCGCCCAATTCATTGTTACATTTTTGCAATTATAACTCGCTTTCCCAAAAATTGGGGTTGTCGTAGTCGCAGCTCTCGTCGCTCGCGCCTGCCACTGTGCAGCAGCTAAGTCTGTTTCTGAAATGCTGTAAGCATTTCTCAAGTGCTTGCATAGACAATGGTCTTTAAATAACAATGGAATATGCGACGTTGCCAAATTGGTAAAAGTAGGCTAATAACTGCGGATAGAGCTCTGCATGAAAAGTGAACTCTAGTGTGTGTGTGTATGTGTGTGTGTGTGTGTGTGTGTTAACTGTAAACATAACCACTCTCTTTGAGCACAAAGCGTTATCCAAGAAAGAAGTTGCAATTGACAACTTTGCTAAATTTCTATATTCAGAAAACGCCTTCGCCTAATAAAAAAATATACTAATTAAAAACAGATAAATACGGACAAATAAATATGAATTGAATCTTTAACATTTCTTCGATGATGGACATTTTCCTGAGCATAGACATACATATATACATGTGTTCTTGAACGCATCTTAATGCTTTAAACATCTTAAACGAATTCTAGGGTTTGCCTCTATACCACTGGAACATGTTGATTTCGTGCCATTATTTTCGTTGAATTTCTGCAAAGAAATGTGCGTTAAAATTTGCAATTCATAAAGTATAACCTTTGGCAACAGCCAATCCACTAGCAAAAATAAATAAAAAATGGGAAAAACGATGAAAAACACAAGTTAAGTAAGCTTTAAGGCTAATTTCAAATCAAGTCATGACCTTCAATACCCACACAACAGCCACGGCAAAAGACAGCCAATATATTATATGGAATTTGTGGAAAAAATAGCTTGCGGCTATTTGTGAAAAATCAACAGCATGAGGTGGCTCAGCAGCAGCAGCAGCAACAGCAGCAGCACAGGCCAACAAGAGCGAGCATTTTGCACAGGAAATGTTGTGCAGGCAAAGAGAAAAGATATATGGTTTATTAAATATTTCGAGCCTGTGGCCATATTCAAAGCAAACACAGATGTCAGGAGTGGGGGAGCGTCTTCTTCATGTGGCTGTGGAATGGTTACGTGGCGTATGAGTAATTGAATTTAAAACGTTGCAACATCGAACCGGTATACAAAAATCTGCTAATGACTTTGCGGCAAATTTTTCAGCTACTGTTTTCAACTTGAAGTCTGCCGCACACTCGAGACAGTCTAAGAGGCATTCGAGTTAGGCAAGTGCATTTTAATTTGTTGCACAAGTCTTTTAAATTTCAATGAACACATATACACGCAGCACATACACAGGCACACGAGCGCACTTAAGAGATCAATGACAAGCGGGGCTCAGCGGGGTCAGCGATTTTGCCTTTACCAGCATCAATTGGCTATAGACCTCTATAGATCGGTCTACCAATTTCTGTATCATGCAACGGAATGTTATACCCAATAGTATCTGTATCCAACTCAAAGTCAAGATCATCGTCCTGATAATTGTATGAAGTGGCTGGGAAAATTTCCTGCCATTTGGCTATTTTGTATAGCAACCATGTGAAGAGGCCCATGATCCAGCCGCAGACGGCGCCAAACGCAATGCAGGTCGCTGTCTTGATCAGCAGTCCATAATCTGAGTGCAAATGATAATTGAATATCGCCAACTGCTTGTGCAAATATTCCTGAAATTCCATAACAGTACGACTAATTTCACAACTTGAATTTTTCAATATTTATTCTCTTCAGAAAATTTACTGATTCTGACTGTTCGAATACAAACGAAAAAGTATTTGTCTTGTCGACAGGAGAATTTATGATCACAACTCCTTTGTCTTTCACATAAAATTTCTACTTATTTGTTAGCACAGACAAAAAAGTCAAAAAGTCTTATAACAATGGTGCTAGGTCCGATCGAACTTATTTGCTATTATGTGGTGCAACCGATAATAGATTTTTTAGATAAATTACTAATCTCCGGTCATTATATTGCATTTTATATTGGTATTTCTGTGTTTGGCGTATTACTTGGTATTGTTATGGGCATCGTATCTGTTATATGGTACAAGTACGTTAATCGCGAGGAGCCCAAGAAAATACATAAAATCCCACTGGTTAAGGACGAAGGCCAGCTGAAAGCCCATGACATGCAGAAGCAGCAATAAGATAATTTGTGATAGGCGTATCTTAATTATTTCAAATTATACAGGTAAATGTATACCATTTATAAACTAAAGTCTCAAAATCGAATTTATATCTCTTTTATTTTGCATAAACTAAGTCAACTTTGCTGCATTCTCAATTCCGATGAAGCAGTTCATTTGCATCCATGTATGGCTGACAAATCAATGCGAATCGTTTGATATTTTCCTTTGCCACTCTTGCTCCAATATGTGCTCTAGTAAAACATAACACTCGAAAAATTGCAAAAGTCAATGAAATGTTATTTGACATGCACAAACAGAGACAACGGTGGAAGCCACATGGCAAAAAGTAAAAATAGAAGAAGAAAAAGAAAAGGAAAAAAATGTGTTTAATGTTAACCAGTCAGCGATTGCATTGAGGTAGCAGTTTTATTAAAGTTAGCTGTCTTCTCTATATGCTTAAATAAGGAAAAATGCCATACAAAATTCTTGTACGGAAAAGACTGAAAAGCGAAATGTCCTATGATTAAAGTTTGTGATTAGGCTATATGATTATAATAAGTTTTTATTATTTTTATAATTTAAAAATTAAACTAATAAATATATTTGTATATTATTATTTACATATTCTTGTAAAGTTACAATAATATTTGTAATTTATTATTATTTATATTTAAATTTATTTTAATTTTTTTGTTGATTAAATTATTCAAATATTTTTTTAATTAAAATTTTTAAACTATTATTTTTATTATTTATTGCACAAAAAACATTGAACGTTACAAAATAGAAAAGCCGACATAAACTATAAATTGTTCTAAGAAATCCTTTGTTGAAACGTTTGATATACCCCATTGTTTCCCTCTGTTACAGGGCATAAAAAAATAACACAGTAGCCACCAAATGTACTCAAATTATTCTCTGAGCACATTTTAATTTCCCTCAGGAAACTACGGCAAAGTATGCAGTCAGCGGACCGAAGGACTCACGAAAATACACAAAACTAAATTTAAGTAAAAATTTCGGCGCACTGCTCGCTTACCCAAAGGATGTCATTTTGCCAAAAACGCAAAATATTAGCAAAGGAAAAAATTGAAACAGGACCACATAATAAAGTAGAAAAGAAAATGAAGGAAAGCTAAACAGCGAGCAGGCTGGGTCAAAAGACAACGTCTAAGTGGCATGCAGTTGGCCCCTGGCATGAAGACAATTTAAGGGCAGAGCAGTTCATAAACAGGGCGCGCGCGCTTGCGTTCGCGCTCGATGAAATGAAAAACGACGACGAGGCGAAACCAAAAACCAAGCGAAATAAAATTTATTTTAGTAACAAAATTGCGTGACACAGAGAGCATGGGAGGACGCTGTAAATGGCAGTGAGCCAATGGCTGGCATCCACAAGTATATTAAAATGTTGCCCTCTTAGTAAGACATCCGCTGAGAGATAGTAAGAAAGAGTCGCCGTCGTCGGCAGGCGATGGTCTGAGAATAAAGGAAATGATTGGTTTTGGGCGACATTTTCGTTGATGTTGCCGTCGTCTGGCCCAGCGAAGCAACAAATAGCCTCGTTCTGCAAATTGTTGCAAGCAGAAAAGGAAAAAACGTAGCAAAAAACAACAAATGGCTAAAGTTTTAGCGACTCGCAAACTTTGCACTGCAATGCAAAAACGCAAGTCAACAACAACAAGAGCAGCAACAACCACAGCAACAACAACAACAGCTACAGTGGGAAAATTAAGTTTCTGCGCCGCTGCGCTGGCAAAGGAAAAGGACGCCAAAGTCGTCGTAGTCGTCATCGCCATCGCCGTCGTTGCCGCCAGACGCGGTCAAATTAAAAGCGCATTGCAAACAGAGTAAGAATTGTGAATGCCAAAAATGATAGACTGCGTTAATACCCTGTGATAAAACCGATCTTGGCCGATGATAAACTATGAAGGTCATGAAAATTTATTATTAATTTTATTTAAATGTTTTAGTATTTCATTTCAGTATATTTTTCAAATTGTATTTTTCGAATATTAAATTTTGCAATTATTGTTCATATAAACATGAAAACATGAAAACATTCCAAAGTCTTTGCTGTACCTATATTAAGTTTGACAGGTATTTAATACACATTTTTGTTTAAAGGATCTCTCTTTCTGTAAGCAACTTCAACAGGGCATCAAAAGAAACGCAGTCAAGTCCTTTTCGCAGGACTAATGCAAAGCGGCGACAGTCGCAATGGCTGCGACGATAGCGGCTGCCTTTTTATTGCATACTTTTAGGCCGCAGGTGAAGATGCCCATGCCACGTTCGCTGTGCCAGTATTTGCGCTATTTGTTGACATCGTCTATAGTCGTAAAGCGTTATACTCGTCCCACTCGATGTCGTCAATGTTGCCAACTTGACGGTTTTTATTGCTTTTCCTCAGTCCTTTATCTTATGCCGTCGTCATACACTGCGTATGCGTGTTTTTCCCTATAAACTTGTGTGTGTGCGTGTGTGTGTATATGCCTGTGCATTAATTTTCAAATATTTTCGCCGTTTGTTGCCTTTTGTATATTGCTTTTGACTTGGCTATGGCAAATTTATTTATAGGTTTCGATAGGCATCTCATTGTTGTTCTTTGCTGTTGTAATTGTTGTTATTGTTGGTTGTCGTATCGTGTGCACAGGGGTTGCTTTCTGCTGCGAAAAAGGTCTTTGTGCTCTCCCACCCATTAGAGCACTGTAACCGTAACGAATTGTGGCTTTACAGCAACGTTGATTGAGGTGTGTAAGTACTCTATCTCTGTGAGACTGCGTTGGCAAAATTGATATTTACTCTTCAAGAATCGAAGGTTTAATATGCATTTGACTCAGGGATGTTTAATTAGCTATAGAATGCATATTAAATATAATAATTATATATATAATTATATATTGGATATATTTTTATATTGGCATCAGCCGGGCATGCCATAGAAAAGGATATATAAATCTGATATACTATAAGTTAAAGCAGTCCAAAATTCTTTGCACTCAATTTGTAATTCTCTTTTAAGCTTACATCAAACTATCTTTATATAGATATCTATTGCCAGAGCATATTTTTTCTGTTTCGCTCATTATTGATTTCTTACACATCCCAATTTTCTCACCTGCTCAACTTTGACCTCCACTAAATGTGCACATTGAATGCCAATTGCCTAGGTCATTTCGATTAATTTGCTTGCTAATTGCCCACACATAAATAAGAAAAACTCGTACAAACTGTGCAGTTACTCAATATTGTTGCCTTTCATTCGTCCATTGACCATAGACCATGTGGAATACCGAGGATATCCGCTTGCTGCGTGGCGGACTTTCTCAGTCGATCTATCGTCGATTGTTTCAGTGTACTGCCTGGCTGCTCTATGGCATTGCACGTGGATGTCACTTCTTCAAGCTGCGCTATAATGCACAAGATAAGCGCATGGTGGAGATGCAGTATCATCGGATAATCTCGAAATTAGTTTTAGGCGTTAAAAGTCTGTTCATATTGAGCGATGTTGTGGAGTATGTGGTCTTGGGGCTTGCGATATGGATATGCTTCTCTCTCGTCGAAAATGCCAGTGGACAGAACTACACGATGAGTCTTTTCATGCAAGGTATTATAGCGTACGTATTTCGTCGCTTATTGCTCTTTTTGCATTCGCAGATGGATCGCAAAGTGATAATGCATCTGGTCAACGAGATATTCTATATCACCCACACAATTGAGAAGAAGTTTGGCATGATATACCACGGCGAAATGTGCCTATTGTGCGTATACTCGTGCAAGATATATCTGACTTATACAATGCTGGATGCCATGTGGCATAAGTTCACTTTTCTGTGGATCAACTTCTTCTATTGGGTGCTCTTAGAGTACTGTTGCCTTGGCTACTTTATCTATCAGCTAATTCTGCTCAACTGGTATCGCAATTTGAGCTTCTTCTTGCAACGCTTTGTAGAGTACAATGGGAATCAGAGTTTCATATCAGGCCGCTACCATCGCCGTCTGTTGTGGCTCTTCAAGCTGCACTTACGTATTAATAATCTGCATAAGTGTATTCGGGAAAGAGTCGCTTGGCTTCCGGCTGCCATCTATTTGGCAATATTCTCAAGTATTTTCAATATGACATTGCTGATTGAGTGCATCGTCTATGCTGAGGATGAGATCGATAACAAATTGTATATTTTGATGGATGGTTGCCTCTGCCCGGCCTTAATACCCGTTATCAACGTGCTCATAATTGGGCTGTGCACAGATCGCATACGCAGCGAGGAGCTGATCATGCAGCAACAAATTGTTTTCGTCAATTTTCTGTATGCGCGTAAAAGTTTTCCATACGATTTTCGCCTGAAGGTGATCGACAGTGAGGTGAGTTAAGTAGTTCAGCTGTATTTAGAGTAATATCTATCCGACCATTTGCAGTACTTTTCTATGATTGTGAGTCAAAAATTGGGGCCGTTGCTTAACACCATCATTTTGGATACCACTTGCGATCGCAGATTCGCATTTGACTATTTCTTCACAGCGATCGTAACTGCGCTTTCCTTCGTACAATATACCGTGTCGACAGGCCAAGACCTAAAGCAGTGCGTGACACATAAGTAAAGCGAATGCCAGGAATGCAACTTTGTTTTGATGAGATCAAAACCAAATCAATCATAGCTAATTGAAAATTGAATAAAATAATTATTTTGCGAAACTTTTGTTCTCTTATTTTGTAATAGGTCTATTCTATATACAGTGTATATACAGGGTATATTGACATCGTAAGAGGCAGAAGAATGTCTAGCAGAGCTCGTAAAATATATATATATTTGGCAAGCTGAGTCAATATACAAAATGTGAAAGACTTGAATGAATATATAAGAAATGCTAAAGTGTTGAAATTCTTGTTTACCAAAAGCAATACAAAATTATTAATTTGTTCCCGTAAACAAATTCATTCCTTTATAGCCATAGAAATTGATAGTTTCATTTGGTTTGTAAGCGTAGGCTGGAGGCCTTAAATTTACTGTGAAGTTGTCTGTCATGACTACTGTAGCGCCCAGCAACCAGTGCCACGCTTTACATTGTAATTTGAGGGAGGCAGTTGTCTCAATAGATATAGATTTGAAAGAGATTTCTATTTGCAAAGAGATTTCATTCAGCTCGAGCTTATTAGTTCTGTATCATTGTTTGAATACTGCTGCTGTGTGTGCATCGACAGCTTTGAAATATTTCGAAATTCATTATATTTTCTGTTTATAGAAGCAAATGGCCCGACACGAACAATAAAGTGGAAATAAATATTCTCAAATTTCTATAAATTAATGTAAAGCTACACGAAAACTTTTGGTAGCTCAGCTAATATGCACA